TGCCCAGTACCGCACCTAAGCAAGTGGTTCGGCAGCCTCTTATCCAGGATGGGGACCCGTCTGGTGCAGTCGCAGCAGTCGGGCACAGAGAGTGGCAGTCCGAGCCTAAATTGAAGGGCGAACGTGAAGTGGCAGGGGTATAGGCGTAGGGAAGGCATGTAGGGGATCGCCATGAGCCAGTCCCCTGCCCCATAGCCCGTAAGGGACATGAGGCGCTGGGTGTGGCCTAACCGTGGGTTCAGCTCTATCTGTCTAGATGCGGCAATCTGGGCCGCACTCCGGCCCCCTTGGACTAGGAGAGCAAGGCGGTGTTGCAGCTGGCCCTAGGGTTTTGCCTGTTCCTCCGAGATGACGTCCCTCGCCTCCTACGTGAGGCTGTCCCTGTAGTCCCCGATCCACCTTTGCAGCTCGTTGGGGCTATGGTCGGCTGCTGCGGGTGTGTCTAATGCCGCCGTCAAAGTGGCCCCTGCCTGCCCCTCTACCTGATTGAGGAGTGTGTGCGCCTGCACAAAGCTCGCAAGGAAACTGTACCGGCCCTCTACTGCTGGGTTGGCAAGGCCCAGGCCGCCGAGGCTTGGTGGGAGTGAGGCTTGGTCCCAGATACGTTCATCCTCCGTCTCTCCCCTTGGGTGGCGCACCCCGCAAGCGTCTAGAAGCGTGTACAGCAGAACCCGGCCCCACCCTGACCATTCTGCCTCGGGTAACAGGTAAAGGGGTGTGGTGCGGGCTAGGTAGGAAATGCGCCTGGAGATACACCGTGTTAGGAGTAATGCCGCTACTTGGGGGTCCATTTTCGCTAAGTGGGGCAACGGGGACGACAGCGTCTCGAGCTATGATCGTAGAAAGGCTGCTGCACCGTCCGTCGTGCCTATGAAGCTTCCCAGCACTCTCAGCCCCTCCGTGCGTAGCGGGACGCCAACGGGCAGCTGCTGGGGGTCTATTGCTGCTGCGCTCCATGCGGCGCACTTCCCTGGGTTGTGCGTCAGTCCCACGTCGTGCAGACCAGCCGTGAAGAGACGGAAAGCGTCGGAACAGTCGGCAGCATGGCCCAGGAAGGTGACGTCGTCGGCGAATGCTAGGCATAGAACCGTAGGGAAGGCTGCTGCTGTCTTGGTGAGGATAGGGTGGATCCCTGCGGTGAGCAGTCAACATGTTGAGAGCCTTTGGGTGCATGGTGGTGTTTCATGTGCCGAAGGAGAAGAGGGGAAAACTGGAGGCTTCTGGGAGATGGGGTGTGCACTTGGGGCTTGCTAGGGATCACAAAGGCTGGTTGATATGGGACTTGACCAGCCAACAGTTGACTGTGTCAAGGGATGTGAAGTTCCTTGAGTCCTTGTACTATAAGGAGTGGAAGCAGCAGCAGCAAAAGCTTCCTACTACACCGCTGATCATTAAGGCCGATGAGGTGCAGCGGCCTTCGAGGCAAGTGCAGGTTTCTTTCTCAGAGGAGGAGATTTCAGGGGTGACTGGGGATGGGGGAGAACTTGAGGTGGGGGAGCAGCAGCAAGGTGCTCCACAAGGTGCCGCACATCTGGCTGACCGTACTAGGAGGGATGTGCGCCCTCCTAACCGGCTGACCTATCCGAGCGTTGGCAAGCTAAAGGTGGTACGGGCTGGGAGTGTGGCTGAGCAGTGTGATGAGGATGAGATAGCACACTGCTACTGGGCAGTTATTCCTGAGCCCAAGACACTAGCCGAGGCATTGAGCGGGCCAGATGCTGAGAATTGGAAGCAGAGTGTGAAGGAGGAGTATGATTCTCTGCTGGAGAACGAGACGTGGGAGCTGTGTGAGCTGCCACCTGGGAAGAAGGCCATTTCTTCCAAGCTGATCTTCAGGCACAAGTACGGACCTGATGGGGAGCTAAACCGCTACAAGCCAAGGCTTTTGGCAAAGGGGTTTCAACAGACAATGGGGAAGGACTTCGACGAGCTCTATGCTTCTGTTGGGAAAAGCACAACACTGAGGTTGATGTTGTCTATGGCTGCAAACCGTGGATGGAGGATCAAGCAGATGGATATCTTAACTGCCTTCCTCAACGGAATCAATCTGGAGGAGCTGTACATGCTGCAGCCTGAGGGGTTGGATGATGGGAGCGGCAGGGTGTGCAGGCTGAAGAAGGCCATCTATGGCCTGAAGCAGGCTCCTCGCGCCTGGTACCACAAGTTGGAGGAGACACTGCTGGCTGGGGGGTTCAAGAAGAGTGAGTGCGACCACAGCTTGTTCCTGCTGCAAGAGAAGGAGCAGTTCCTTATGCTCCTGGTGTATGTGGACGGCATCTTGCTCTTCTTCGAGTCGTCTGCGATGATTGAGCGTGTGGAGGAGATGCTGGAGATGCAGTTCAAGTGCTCAAAGATGGGAGATGTGAAGTATTACCTTGGAATGCATGTGGAGAGGGGCCTTGACAAGGGAGTGCTGAGGTTGCACCAAAGGAAGTATTATGAGGGGCTGGCTGAGAAGTATGGGCGGCAAGATGGAGGAAAGCCAACAACCCCACTACCTTCGGGGTTCACTGTGGAGCCCTGTGCTGATAAGGAGGTGGTGGGTGAGAGTGACAGGAAGCTGTTTCATTCCATGGTGGGGGCACTCAATTATGCGGCTAACCATACGCGGCCTGACATTGCCTTTGCAATATCCAGAATTGCCAGTGTGGTTTCACGCCCCAGTCATGAGCAGCTAGAAGCGGCCAAGAGATTGGTCCGCTATGTGAGTGCTACATCATCTGTGGGTTTAGAGTACAGTGCTGTGAGGCAAAGGCAGCAACGGGGTGCTGCTGATTTGGGAAAGGGGGAGATGCTCTTGACCTGCTACACTGATGCTAGCTTCAACTATGTGAAGGCAGATGGCACTAGTATTGGAGGCTATGTGTGCCTGTTTGGGGGTGGTGCCGTGAGCTGGCGCAGCAAGAAGCAGAACGAGGTGGGGTAGTCCTCGTGTGAGACAGAGTACATAGCCCTGCATCACGGGGCAAAGGAGGTGGTGTGGCTAAGGCGTTTGTTGGAAGAGATTGGAGTGTGTCAGAGGGAGCCGACTGTGATGTTCTGTGACAGTGAGTCGGCAGTGAAGCTTGCCAAGAACGCTTGTCTTCATGGGCTGACCAAACACATCAAGCCTAAGTGGCATTGGGTGAGGAGGCTCCTGGACAAGGAGGTGCGGCTGGAGATTGTGAATACCCATCAGCATGTTAGAGACTAAGGACGGAGTCTACGAAGATCAGGTGCCTAAATTTCTCAAAATCGTTGGCTTAGAATTCTGGACAGAAAACGTCGAGTTCACAAAAAACAAAGTCGACGATTGGTGCAATGTTAAAACTTCACTAAACCCAGATATGTTATAGCCCTATTCCGTGGCTACAATTCCCAATTTGAATCGTACGATAAAGTGAAGTATTTCTTGAGTTATGAATTTCGGCGCACTAGGGGGTAAGCTGCCATAGAATCTTAACTCAATCACAATTGTCTCACAAGTTCCACACAAGAATGATGGAGTAGCTAGAAACCAGGTAGGAGGGGTTGAGTAGGACGAGAGGGAAGGTCTCCAAGGAGTCTCCAACCAATGTAACCCCATAAGCACACCAAATCCCTTCCCTATAGGAACCCCACTTTGACCTTTGTCCATTTCCCAACCTCCACAATCCACCTCACCCAAGTTGGCCACACTTGCCAACCCAATTTGGTTTCTCCCAACCACTTGGCAGCATCTACAGTGATGGGGACGAATTTCCCAACCCCCAAAAGTCTGTACCCCTTATGGAGTCAACCCCACAACTTCCCATAGTCACCACAACCAAATATTAAAAGCATACCAACTTCAAATGTTCGTAACTTTCTTGTTCGTGCTCCGATTGAAGCGATACTTGGCTCGACGGAAAACTCTTGAGCAGAGAAGTCATTTCAGATATCTGCTCAAGCAAAAATATCATTTATACACACTCAGAGAATCCAAACCACACGAATCACAAATTCTTGCACACGCTCACACCACGCATGCAACGCACGAACATATGATGGGAGGCAGACAGGCGTGAATGCAAATGATAGCATCACATAGCAAACTCCCCCTCTGGCTGCCTACCATCATCCCACATGCCATAGTTCAATCATGCACCCTCAAAGCACACTCATCCCAGCAAGCTTCGTGCCCTTCCAAATCTCATATTCAGCTAGGCGCTTGGTGAGAATGTCAGCCGCCTGCTCATGGGTCTTCACAATCTCCAGCCGCACCTCCTTGTCCAGGAGCCTCCTCACCCAGTGCCACTTTGGCCTAATGTGCTTCGTCAACCCATGAAGGCAAGCATTCTTGTCTAACTTCACTGCCGACTCATTATCACAGAACATCACAGTCGGCTCCTTCTGGCACACTCTGATCTTTTCCAACAAACGCGGGGAGCAGCGGTACTCACCAAGTTCGTAGAGAACGAGGGGAGGTGAAGACCTGACAGTGAGCCAGATGGAACTGCTGGACACGGGAGAACAGTGGTGGAACGTGCACGAATTGGGCCCCCTGAGGGGTCAGCCTGTCTGACTACAACTGGTGCAGGGAGTGGTGTGAGTGTGGTACTGTCGCGAAAGAAACAGCGGGAAACACCTGAGTCAAGCGTGAAGGTGTGCAAGGCCTCAGCAGGCGCAGTACCAGAGAGAGCAGACTCTCTAGCACCTAGAGCAGCAGCCTCTTTACTTGGTTGGGCGGCACACACAGGTAACAGTCACCCTCAGCACTAACAGTCAAAGCATACATGGCAGCAAGGATAGCGTCATAGTCAAGGACAAAGATATCAACACTAGACCTAAGAAGCTCTGCTGCGTCAGGAACCTGTGCACTCCAGGCGTCGTCTAGTCGGGAGAAGCAGCGGTACTATGAGTGACCAACCTTCCCGCATGTCTGACCAGCGCAGTCACCTGTGCGAATGACGTACGGGCAGCGAACACTACCCTAGACGCCCCACGCTGAGCGTACCACTCACGAGCTTCTGGGGCGTAGGGATCTTGCGCGGACGCTGCTGCTACTGCCTCTGGCCACCGCCAGAACCTCCCCTCTGAACGGCTCCACCCCGACCGCCACCACTGCCGCCGCCACCACTCCCACTACCGCCACCACCGCCGCCACCATTCCCACTACCGCCACCACCGCTGCCACCACTCTCACTACTGCCACCACCGCTGCTGCCGACGCCCTCACTCCCGCCACCACTCCCACCGCCACCACAGCCACCTCCACCGCCTCCACCACCTCCACCACCGCCTCCCCCGCCGCCACGTCCACCACTCTTGCCTCCCTTGCCTTTGCCGCTGCGGCGCCTCCCACTAGGAGCAGACGCAGCCCCGACCTCCTCAGCACCAAGGAAGTCAACAGCAGCAGCAGAAGCGTAGGAGGGGGCAAGGGGGGATGGGGAACACCCCTCAAATAAGAGAGTGCGAGGAGTGTCGCGAGCAGCACCTACAGCGACTATGCTAGTCTCAGCTGCAAGGAGGTGCTTCTCGAGCTTGTCAACAATGAGGTCTGTGGTGTCAAGAGCGAGAAAGTGGTCCCTGACTGCGCGAAGAGAGTCAGGGAGGCGGGTGACAATGAAGTAGAGAGTGATGTACATCGAGGGCGGGTTCTTGTCTAGGAACTCGGCTTTAAGCGCGGCGCGGTAGCGAGTGTCGCTAGTGCAAAGGTGGGTAAGGAGGTCATCGAGTGTGGCAAAGGCGGACAGCTCGGGGAAAAGGTAGGACAGTATAAGGCGGCCGAGAGCAGCAGAGGCAGGGGAGGAGTAACGAGCGACTACAGCATCGTACAGGGCTTTAGCAGTCTGGAGCTGGTGAAAGTGAGCGTGTTCGGCTAACGGCAGGTGGTTGCGAGCGGCTAGGCGAGCAGCAGCATCACGGGTAAGCCAATGTGAGCGATTCGCACTGGCAGTTGTGTCGGGAGGGGCGAGAGAGGCTTCAGGCACGTGGTCAAACAACAAAACACTGTCGCTAGAATCGCTCAGTAGGTACTTGTAAGTCATCCAGCCACGTATCGAATTGGATCGGACGGCCCTCAGGGTCAAATGTGAGAACGCTGAGAGTAGCCATAGCGGGCAGAGCCAGGTGGCGCGTGACGAGCAGGGCAGTGCGCGTGCACTAGGGAAACGCGCAAGGCAGGGCAGGGTGGTGCACGACCAGGACAGGGCAGCGCGCGGGGCAGGGCAGGGCAGCCCGGCGATCAGCAGGGCGGCGCGGCAGGGTGCAGGGCTGCGGGCGGGCAGGGCAGGACGGCGCTCGGCCGGCAGGACGCCGCTCGGCCGGCAGGGCGGCGCGCGGGCAGGAATGGGCGGCGCGCTGGCAGGAAAGGGCGGCGCGCGGCCAGCAGGGCGACGCGACGGGCAGGGGCAGAGCGTACGGGCGATGCGGCGGGCTGGGGGAGCCGGCACGGGCGACGCGAGGGCCAAGGGCAGGGCGTACGGGCGACGCGGCGGGCTGGGGCACCCCGCACGGGTGACGCGACGGGCACGGCCAGGGCGGACGGGCGACGCGACGGGCTGGGGCAGCCCGCACGGGTTACGCAACGGGCAGCAAGGGCGTACGAACGGCGCGACGCGACGGGCAGCAGGGGCGCGCGGCGCGACGGGCAGCAGAGGCGCGCGATGCGACGGGCAGTAGAGGCAGGGTGGCGTGACGCAGGGCAGGGCGTTCGCAGGCAGCGCAATGCGGGGCAGGGCAGAGCGTGCGCTAGGCAGCGCAACGCAGGGCAGGGCAAGGCAGTGCGGCAGCCAGCAGGGCGGCGCGCGGGCAGAGGAGCGCGACTGGTGGGACATCGCGACGGACAGGGTAGGGCGCTACAGGCAGGGTAATGCGCTACGTGTAGGGAACTGTACGGTAGGCCCGAAAAAAACGGTCCTGGAACAGAACCTGCTCTGACACCATGTCAAAAGACTAAGCGAGAATGTCTGCATTGAGAATAGATCTGGGTACAACTTCTAACCCTAATTGGGTTGTACCCCTTATGGGCTACCTCACTAGAGCCTACACAATATAAACATTATAACAAGAAAACCTCTGAAAACTCATACAAGGTTTAAAAAAAAAAAAAAAAAGTTCAGACTAGGTAAAAAAGAAAAGCCTGAATGAACTCTGAATCAGAGTAAAAACTCTTATATCTAGGGCCCTGCTTGCACCTAGTCTTTATAAGCTATTATCATCAGAAATTTATATGAAAAGGGGGGTGTTATAGAAAATAACCCCAAAAGGGGGGTATAATACAAACAAGGTCGCCTATAGCACCCACCCCGCACAAGCTACCCGGGAGTGTACAATTTTGGCGGGTGTTTTGTCCGGGAGAATACGGTATCCTTACCAAAGGACCCTATATCCTACTTCCGGAATTTGTTTTTATTATTATTATTATTATTATTAAAATGTCAGTTAACACAGCTAGTTATGCATATCACATAAAACATATTAAATAAATGCAGAGTGTGTTTTCGAAAGTGCTTTTTCCAATATATCATTTCTGAAAACCAATATCTCAAATGCTTCTTTCATATCTCCTCAGTTTTTCAGAAGCCCCTCTCTTAAAAGGAATGCATAAAAACTCACAGCTTAAAATGCCTATCCACAGTGTACCGCTCAAGGTGCACCTTCCATAACTCAATTATCTCAAAAAAGGGAAGCATGAGACGATTCGAGGGTATGAGAGGGGTGGGGGGTATGAGAGGATTGAGGGGTATGAGAGGAGTGAAGGGTATGAGAGGAATGGGTAGTGCAAGAGTGGGAGGGCCTCAGATGTCAACATAGAAGGGTTGATTCAGGTGATCAATCAGCCACCCCCAAAACCAAAGTGAAGCCCTGCTGGGGGTTATGGGAGGAGTTGGGGTGTGACTGGAGTGGCTGGGGGCGGGTGAAAGGGGTGGGATCACAAGAAGGGATCAGGGTGTGAGAGGAGAGGTTTGAATGAGACGAATGGGTTCTACAAACAGTGGGGGGTTCGAGGGGAATGGGGGGTGTGAGAGGTGTGGAGGGAAAGAGAGGAGTGGGGGTTTAAGAGGAGTGCATGTCATGAGACGAATAGAGAGTGTGAGAGGAGGGGTATGAGAGGAGTGAGGGGTATGAGAGGAGTGAGGGGTGTAAGGGGAGTAGCGGTTGTATAAGAGGAGTGGGGGGTATGAGGGTAGTGGGGGGAATGAGAGGAGTGTGGGCGTTTAAACATGGGGGATATGAGCGGGGAGGGGGCAAAGAATTAATTGGGGGTTATGATTGGAGTGGGGGTTATGAGAGTAGTGTGGGAATGAGAGGAGTGAGGGGATTGAACGGAGTGGGAGGTATGAGAGGAATGGTGGGTATGAGGGGAGAGAGGAGTGGGGCTTATCAAAAGAGTGAGGGCATGAGGGATGTGGAAATATGAAAGGAGCAGGGTTATGAGAGGAATGGGGGATATGAGGGGAATGAGGGATGAGGGAGGGGTTATGAGAGAAGTTGGAGGTTTGAGAGGAATGTGGGTTGTGAGAGGAGTGTGGGGATCATAAGGGGAGTTGATATGGTGTGTGTGATGTGTGGGGGATATGATAGGAGAAGGGGGTAAGAGAGGAATGGGTTATGAAACGACTGGAGAGTATGCGACCAGTGGGGGATATGAGAGGTGTGAGAGTTATGAGAAAAGTGGGGGAGTGGGGGTTTTGAGAGGAAGAGAGGGAGATCCTGTGGGAGGTATGATGAGAGGATTTGGGGGTATGAGGAGAGTGGTGAGTATTAGAGGAATGGGGGGTATGAGAGGAGTTGGGGGTACAAGAGGAGTGGCGGAATGAGTGGAGTGGGGGTTGAGGGAAGTGGGGGGAATGAGATGAGTGGGGGTGATGAGAGGAGTGTCGGGTATGAGCGTACTTGGGGGTATGAGAGGAGTTGGAGGTTGAGAGAGAAATGAGTTGTGAGAGGACCTAGGGTTTTGAGATAGGTTTTGGAGTGGGAAGATTGAGAGAAAGAGGAGGTATGCGAGGATTGGGGGGTATGAGAAGTGTGAATTTATGGGACGAGTGGATGGTATGAGAGAGTTGAGGGTATGAAATGAATGGAAAACTTGAGATGAGTGGGGGTGATGCGAGGAGTAAGGGTTATGAGTGGGGAGGATGTTATGAGAGAAGTGGGGGGGTATGAGAGGAATGGGGGAATGAGAGGAGGGGGGTAATGAGAAGAGTGGGGTGTATGAGGTGGGGGTTTGAGAGGAGTGGGGAGCATGAGAGAATTAGGGGGTATTTTAGGAGTAGGGGGTATGGGAGGATTGGGAAGTATGAGAGAAGTGGGGGGTATGATAGGGAAGGAATATGGGGTATGAGATGAGTGACGAGTCCAAGAAGAGAGGCGGGTATGAAAGGAGGGGGAGAATGAGAGAATCTGGTTGTATGAGAGGAGTGTGGGGTATTAGAAGAGTGGAGGGCTTATCAGGAATGGGTTGCATGAATGGACCGCGGGATATGGGAGAAGTGGAAAGTATGAGAGGGTTGGGTGGGGGGTATGAGCAGTGAGGGTATTAGAGGAGTGAGGTATGAGAGGATAGGGGAGTATAAGAGGAGGAATAGTGGGGGTTGTGGGATGAGTGAGAAGTATGAACGGATTGGGGATTATGAGGAGTGAGTGGTATGGGAGGAGTGTGAGATAATGAGAGCAATGGCGGGAATGTGAAAAAGTCGGGGGCAGGAGAGCATGAATGGGAGGAGTGCAGGTTATGAGAGTAGTGGGGGTTAAAGGTGGAATGGGAATTATGGGATGAGTGCGGGGAACTAGTGGAGTGGGGGAAATGAGAGGTGTGGGGGGGATGAGAGGAGTGGGGGGGATGAGAGGAGTGGGGGGGATGAGAGGAGTGGGGGGGATAAGAGGAGTGGGGGGAATGAGAGGAGTGGAGGGGATGAGAGGAGTGGGGGGGATGCGAGGAGTGGAGGGGATGAGAGGAGTGGGGGGGATGAGAGGAGTGGGGGGAATGAGAGGAGTGGGGGGGATGAGAGGAGTGGGGGGAATGAGAGGAGTGGGGGGGATAAGAGGAGTGGGGGGAATGAGAGGAGTGGGGGGGATGAGAGGATTGGGGGGAATGAGAGGAGTGGGGGGAATGAGAGGAGTGGGGGGAATGAGAGGAGTGGGGGGAATGAGAGGAGTGGGGGGAATGAGAGGAGTGGGGGGGATAAGAGGAGTGGGGGGAATGAGAGGAGTGGGGGGATGAGAGGATTGGGGGGAATGAGGGGAGTGGAGGGGATGAGAGGAGTGGGGGGAATGAGAGGAGTGGGGGGAATGAGAGGAGTGGGGGGAATGAGAGGAGTGGGTGTGGGGCGAATGAGAGGAGTGGGGGGAATGAGAGGAGTGGGTGTGGGGCGAATGAGAGGAGTGGGGGGAATGAGAGGAGTTGGGGGAATGAGAGGAGTGGGGGGAATGACAGGTGCTGGGGGAATGACAGGTGTTGGGGGAATGACAGGTGTTGGGGGAATGACAGGTGTTGGGGGAATGACAGGTGTTGCGGTTATGACAGGTGTGGGGGGTATGACAGGTGTGGGGGGTATGATTGGAGTGCTGGATATGGGAGGGGTGAAAGAATTGGGTGGTATATAAGGAATGGGTGAATGAGAAGTGAGGGGTATAAACGGTGTGAGTGGATATGAGAGGAGTGTGGGGGGGAGGTGGGGTATGGTACGAGTTGGGGTATCACAGGAGCGGTGGGTATGAGAGAATGGTGGCATTTGCGGAGTGGGGGCTCTAGTGTGTTGAAAATGTTCGAGCATCCAGTCTGTCTCATGTACCATCAAAATGTTTTGCAATTGCTTGAGAGGCAAAACCCGGGAGGTGTCGAACGGTCAATTGCCAAACCAACCCCTAGACTTCGCCACCTCAAACAGGGTAACTAACCAAGCTTCAATTGTTTTGCAGTTGATCACAAAGTCTCTTACGTACGTGAGACCCTGGTTTTAATCAGCCAGGTGCGTTTAAAGCATATTTTACCGTACGTCCTACGGCTACAAGCACCCTACATTCTCCGTCAGCGATTTTTCAACACCCTACCTCAGGTGGGAGGATGATTGGCATTTCTGTGGTTGCGGCTGGCTTATCCTTTAGTTTCATTGTTTCTAGCGGTGGGACGTTTGCCATACACGTCGGGCTGGGCACCGAGTTTCTTCTCTTGCAAAACTCATCAATGTGGTCAGCTCCGATGCGATGTAACCTCGAGTCAGGGGACCCCGGGGGTACGTGTATCTTGAGAGAGTTTCTGGGTCAGCCTAGCCAATCCAGAAAATATGTTCTCTTTAGTAATGGAACCAGAGTATCGGCATGGTTGCATGCAGTTTCATAAACCTAAATGTCTACCGTAAGCTTATGAGTGGCAAAAGAAACATCAGCGCCGGAGCATGTCACACCCTGTAGTATCAATGCGCTCGAGCATTCTTAGATCAGATATGTCATTCGGCAGAGCCTTCAGCTGCTCGCATCCACGGACACCAAGCCTCCTCAGCCTGCTGAGCTGAGCAAAGCCAGGCGGAAGCAGCCGGATGCTGGTGTGGCTGACGTTCAGCTCATGCAGGCAGGAGAGCTGTGTGAGGGACGCAGGGAGATGCACGAGGGATGACCAGTGGGATAGGTCCAGCTCACGCAGCCTTGAGAATGCCCCAAAGAAGTACGGAAGAGATGACAAGTGTTCTGCGTTGATCTTAATGGATGTGAGGTGGTGGAGAGTGGTGATGGTAGCAGGCAGCTCTGTGAGTCCAACACCCCTCATGCTGGAGATGGTCAGCTCCCGTAGCTCCTGCAAACCCGAGCCCTCACACTCCACCAGCGTGTTCACACTGCGCGCCCCTTGGAGTGTCAAGGTGCGGAGGCGAGGAAGCCTGGTCAGCGCGGACAGAGACTCCTCCGCACCCGCTGTGAGCTCCAGCTCCAGATGCTGCACATTCGAGAGATGCTCGACGATGGCCTCAATACAGGCTGCGTCCACCGTGTACAAGCACAGCTCCCTGAGCCCTGTAAGGCTTGAAACATCTGGCATGGACCCCATCTCCTGATTGTCTGAGAACCGGAGAGCCTGCAGACTGAGTGGCAGAGCCTGAGGGACTTCGTTCAGCCGCCAACACCCCCTCACCTCCAACTGCGTCAGGCTGGTTAGCCCATCCAACCTCCTGGGAACCGATACGAGATTTTCACACTCTGTGATCCTCAGCACTCGAAGGCTGCCAAGCGACGTCACAGCTTCCGTAAGCTTCTTAAGATAAGAGCAGGAATGAATGTAAAGCTCCTGCAGGTTTGTCATCTCCCCCATACCCTCTGGAAGCTCACGAGAATAGCAGTGATGAATGTAGAGCTCCTGCAGGTTTGTCATCTCCCCCATGCCGTCTGGAAGCTCATTTTTGCACCCTTTTAGCTCCAGCCTGGTCAGCGAAGCCAGCTGCGCTAATGACGACAGCAGCTGCCCTAGGCTGTTCTTCTCAAAATGGAAGGTGTGGAGGTTGGTCAGGCCGCCCAAGTCTTCTGGAAGCTGCAAGATGGACGACCCTGCAAGGCTCAGAGACCGGAGGGCTGTGGGGCGACCAAACCCTGCAGGAAGCTCCTCCATGTCTTCGCACCAATCCAGAAAAAACGTCTCAAGAGATGCGAGTCTGGTGAAGGAGGCCGGGAGAGTGCGGAGCAGCAGCCGGCTCAGCACCAAGGTTTTCAAGGCGGGAAGATGGCCAAAGTCTTCCGGCAGATCGTACACTCTGCAGTGGCATACAGTCAGGCTCTCCAGGCAGGTGAGCGACGTGATCTCGCCAGTCAGATCGCTCAAGGCTCCGCACTTGTTGATGCTGAGCCCTTGGAGGCGCGGAAGCACCTGTCCGATATTGTCTGGAAGCCGCTCCTGGTTGAAGCAATAGCTAAGCTGCAGGCGTTTCAGGAACCTGTACGGCGATCCAGGACGGAAAAAAACGCTAAAGTGCGCATCACACGGTCCGAACTTGAGCGAGTGGAGAGGAAGCTGTGCGAGCGAGAAGGTGGGCGGATCTGCTGAAATCACGTTGATCTCGTCAGGCAAGGAGAGGCGCGTGAGGTTGGTGAGTTGAAGAAGGGTGGAGAGCTGGTTGTAATGAATGTCGGGGGTTTCCATGGAGACTGCTGTGAGAGACGAAAGAGAGCTGAGATCTGGAGACTTTAAGATGAAGGCGGTGGACAAGACGAGGGTGCGCAGATGCTGAAGCTGGAAAAACGAAGCTAGTGGGTTCAGATCTTCCTTGAGACAGCACAGCGACAGCTGCTCCAGTTGAGAGCAGTGACGGAAGAAAAAGTCCAATCCTGATTCTGTTATCACGCGGCCATTCCTTCCATGCTGTCCCTCGTACTCCCACCCCACGTGCAGCGCTCTCAACCCAGGGCACGAAAGGGCGAGATCAGCTAGAAACGCGTCATCCGACGTCTCAACGCTGAAATCCGAGAGATGCAGATGGGTCAGCCGGGGAAAGCAGGCGACCGCGTTGAGCACATCGCGGTGAGACACGACGCGGTTATCCTTCATGAGCAGCGTCGAGACGTGCCTCTGAGCCAGTCGTCGCCAGCGACGGCAGATAGAGGCGATGAAGAGGTTGTGAGCGGCGTCTGCGGAGGCGGGAGGCGTCGGCATGGGAGAATCACTTCGCTTGCTCCATGATGACTCTTCGCTTGTTTCAAGGTACGTGGGCGTGGGCACCACAGGGTTCCAGGGATCCTCGCTCTCGGATATGTACGGGCTTGACGGGATTGACGGTGTGGACATCGCAACTCTGCAGGTGTTCGCTGGGAAACAGCCGGCGGTAAGCTTGGCGATATCGCATCCCTGCAGTTTGCTTGCGGTGTTTTTTTCTAATTGCCCTCTGTTTCCGAGCTGCCTGCGATCTCCCGCAGTTACCCTAATTTCGATTCGTGCAGTCACGGAGCAGTTAGCGGGCAATTGGTGCAAAACTCATCCCGTTGGGTCGATGAACACCGCTCGGTGAAATTCGGTGCGGTGGTGTATAGAACTCCGCGCTGAACTAATATTTTAAAAAAAATGGTGAAGACTGAATATGAACACGTCAATGTATACGAATCGCTTGTAATTTTGCATAATCACATTGTTTCATTCCCATGAAGAAATGGAAACGCGTACGCCTACGGTTACCATAACTTTTACCGTTGGCGAATGACCGTAGCGGTAACCAGGTAAATGAGCCCTTCGGACGGCTCATTTTCAGCGCGCGAAAAATCTAGCTGGACCAGAATGATGACGGAGTCGCACAACCTGTTACGTGCGAAAACGGCACGTAACTTTTTGCTTTGTCGCCGTTGCAGTTAGGGGCGAAGGGTGTGGAACGCGGTTGTGAACGTTTTTGCAAAATTTTTATCGGTGCCTGCATCATGCGGCCGTTCCCCTCCAACCCCTCCATTTCCCTCCTCACTCGAAGTGCACATTATTATCGTAGAGGTGGTAATAAAGTAGCCTGCCATGGCGCCTCCCTGGAACCCGCTAACTCGCTGGAACCGCCCGTTTTACCCGAGTTTGGCGGTTTTTTTTTTTAAGGAAACGACGCCTCGCCATCCATTCTTTGCCTCGTACCGCATGCCAGACGGGTGCTCGTCCAGCTTAGGGTAGATCGTAGGGCGCGGGCCGAGCTCAATTTTTTAGATGTACTAATTTTAGGGACGCCATAGCCCGAAACGCGTTTTCGACGACACACCAGTGCATGCGCGGCGTGCCGACAAGGCGTACACTTTCACACTTGCGTCCCGCTGTTGCAGATCCACGGGCCGCGAGGGTTTCGCCGTTTTGGTTTCTCTACATTAGTTTTAGGGTCGGCCCGGCAGAAATAGCGACTTCGTCGCCGTACCATCGGATGCGCCGCGTGCCGACGCGTGGTATATTGCGCGAAAGTGCCGCGGCTTGAGGGATTAGTGGGGTCAGTACCGTTTTTAGTGTTTTTTGGCTTTTTTTTTGCCATGTTCGTTTTAGAGCCACAGATTTGCCCCCTCTTGCCACTGAGGGCCATGACCGTTTGTGCTTTGTGGTCTTTGCATGCAGGTCCAAGGGATGCTGTTGAAGACATTGCATATATGTTAGACCTTGCTTGTTATTCTTCACTATTTTAGTTCTTCTCCAAGCTTGCACAGATCCTTGTATCCCTATAATTGATAATGGAGTTTACATGTGCCTGTGGATTCACCTGCACTACTGGACAGGGCTTGATTAATCACAAACTGTTTTGTAGAAAGCGCCCAACTGCGTCAGAGAGTGCAAATGTACGGATTCTAGAGGGTTTGAAGCGCAAACGAGCTAATGACGTGAACCGGCTGCTGCGTGCACGAGTTGCTCCGCGTGCCGCAGCAAGTCCGCCTTTGACCACTAGCGGAGCACCATCTGCACAAACCAGTGTGAACCCTCCCCCGTTTGACTTTCCGACGTCGGATGACAGCGACGGCGACGGTGATGACATAGAATTCTCAACAACGGATGCAACGGCAGATCTTAGTCCACAGAAGCTCCCATTTGACACAGACCTGGCTTTGGCGAAGGCGATTCGGGGTTTTAATGGAGGCATGGGGATGTCGGCAACTGACATTAATACTCTACTGAGCGTTTTGCATGAGACCGGTTACATGAAGCCATCATACAAGAACAGTGCTGGCTTGGCGAAGTACGAAAAGTCTTTACTGGCGGAGACTACGGGCACGGTGGAATGGAGAGCTGTCGAGGTGGAGTTGAGCAACGGCATGAAAGTTACTGTGCACGTAACCTCCATAGTCGAAGCATTGGTGGCGATGTATTCGGACAACGCGAACAGAGACGGCTTTGTGGTGAAACCGGCAGCAGTCTACACGTCCGACAAGAAGCAGCGGATATACGCGGGGCCCGAGACGGGAGATGGATGGATTAAGATGCAAGAAGAATGCCCGAGGGGTGGTGTAATTGCAGCGTGCATCCTGTACAGCGACGGGAAAAACTTGAGCAACGATGGGCGTGTTACGGGACATCCGGTATATTTCACACTTGGAAACGTCACGCTCAAGAATCGTTGGCAACCACACGGGCATCGGATGGTTGCTATGCTTCCGCCACTTCCGAACGTGGACTCGAGGACGGACGAGGGGAAGGCGCTTCACCGGGAGGTATTCCAACTGGCTTTGGATGTGGTTCTTAAAGAGCTCAAAGAGGCATCTTACGAGTGAGTGTTTATTGAATGTGCGGGTGAGTGCTTTTCATTCTACTGGGTGTGGGTGTGTGTGTTGCAAGTATGCTTTATCGCTACGATGAGTTTTTTCTTGCTCACCTCATGTGCAAATCCACTTCCCCTCCCCTTATAATTGTATCTTTCCTATGTTCATCACCCTTTTCTACCTACATAGTGGCATTGTAATAGAAGACCCTTTTGGGCAGACGCAAGTGGTATTTCCCGCTGTCTACGCATATGTGGCTGATCACCCGGAAGCGTGCAAGCTGGCGGGGACGTTTGCAAGTCACAAGGCGATGTTCCCATGCCACAGGTGTCTCGTGAAACGTGAAGACATAAGCAACATGGAGGCGGTGGTCGAATATCGCACGGAAGTCGATCAGGGCGATAAAGTTGAGGCGTTGTTGGCGTTGCCGAGTGGGCCCGAGCGGAACAAGGCATCAAAATCAATCAGCACCCATCCCATCAAGGTACGTATGGTTTGCGAGTGCGTCCATACGTTTTGCGTGCGTATTTGTGTGTGTACGCGCGTCTGTTCGTGCCTCTTTAGTTCGTGTGTGTGAGAATAAGCGAACAGGAATGAATGAACTAGAAGTGAAATGAGTACAAGTAGTAAACCCTAGAATTGTGTACCCCCTATAGGCTAACCCACTGTAGCCTACACAAGCATAACATGTATAATGTTTGACACACCCCCATAGGCAAAGTGGGGGAGAACAAGGGGTCACAAGACCAGTCAAGCAAAGCAAGCTCAGGGTGGATCACAAAGTCACCACACAGTCCGAGCACAAGAGCAGGGCCAGAGGCCAGTTCACATGCAGGAGTACAGACATATATATAAAACTAGACAAGCAAGAGCAGGTATATATATATGTCACAGTACAAGTAAAGTCAAGAGGAGAGCAAATGAGGCAAGACAGGCACAAGACCCAGCTGGGTGCAAAAGCGCTGATGGTCACAAGGCGCGAGTGCCTTGGTGAACACATCAGCACTGTTGGCCTCAGAGGCCACGTACGCAAGTCGCAACTGACCACGCTGCTGCAGCTCACGAGCAAGGAAGTAGCGGAGAGCAATGTGCTTCGTTCTGTGCTCCAAGCGCTGCTCTCGACACAAGGCCAGCATGGCCTTGTTGTCTACGTACAGCACTGGAGGAGAACGAGGCGGCTCTCCAAGGTCAGTCAGCAGGTAGGTGAGCCAGCGAAGCTCCTGTGCAGCCATGGCCCCGGCGTAGATCTCAGCCTCACAACTGGAGCCGAGAACTGAAGACGAGCGAGTAGACCGCCACGAGACAGAGCCGGAACCAAGGCTGAAGGTGTAACCCTGTGACGACCGCTGCGTAGCCTGGTCGTCAGCCCAAGAAGCGTCCGCGTGGCCTGTAAGGACCACTGGACTCCGCCCTCCAAGCACTAGCCCCATGCCCGACGTACTGCACAGGTAGCGCAATACCCTCTTTGCTGCAGCCATGTGCTCTGGTCGGTGTCTCCCAGGAGCAACATAGCGTGCAAGGATGCTCAGAGGGTATGCAAGGTCAGGTCGAGTGCAGGTCATCAGGTACATGAGGCAGCCAACAAGCTCTGCATACGGACCACTCGACTCTACGGACTCATCCGAAGGCAGAGCTGAGAGTGAGTGGCGAGTAGGCAGAGGAGTGGCCTGAGGCGAGGAGTACGTGAAGCCGAAGCGCTGAAGGACCTGCTGCACCATGTGTGACTGAGTCAAGGTAATGGTGCGGCGTGCTCTGTCCCGAGTGATCTGCAAGCCAAGGTAGCTGCGCAGTTCACCCAGGTCTGTGCACGTGTGTCTCTTCAGCAGTTCGGACTTCACGTAGGCGAGTCCAGCAGTGTCCGCTGTGGCAAAGACCAAGTCGTCGACGTACACGAGGATGTAGAACGGCGGCAGTGAAGTGTCGGTGCGCAGAAACAGCGACGGGTCAGCAGTAGAAGGAGCAAACCCAAGAGCAGCAAGCGTAGTCCTCAGTGTGTCGTGCCACTCACGCGGTGCCTGGCGGAGACCGTAGACTGGCCGTCGGAGGCTCCACTGGGTGCCAGGAGGGAAAGTCCCAGTGAAGCCAGGTGGACGGCGCAGCCAGATCTCCTCGTGCAGGCTACCCTACAGGAACGCAGTGCTGAAGTCGAGAGAGTGAAGCTCGTAGTCGCGTTGAGCGGCTATGTGCAGCAGCACCCGAAGAGTGGTCATCTTCGGGGTGGGAGAGAAGGTCTGAAAGTAGTCAACTCCCTGCCGCTGACTGAAGCCACGAGCAACGTACCGCGCCTTGAAGACAGGTGGAGAGCCCGGCGGCCGCTTCACCCTGAAGATCCACATGCCACTGACGATG